ACCCTCAGCCATTGTCGGTGGGGATCATAACATGGCATTGCTGCTCCATGACCCCAGGACCAAGGTGACAGCATGGCAAGCAACACGGTTTGTGGCCTCCCCTAGAGGCCTGAGGTGCCGGCTGAAGGAGACCAAAGCGCCGGGTCTGCTCTGGTGGGCCTGTCTCCTCGTTGCCCATCCTCCCAAGTTATGGACAAGAATCCAACCCTCCTGTTCCCTGTCCTCCTGCTGACCCACGCACCCTGTCTCCCTCCCCAGGCCAGCCACCTGGGTGTCAGCCAGGCCCCAGGGGTCAGCCAGGCCACTCGCAGTGCAGGGAGGAGAGGCCTCCTGCGTCCTGGTGGCAGGTGTGAATGCACTGGTCACAGAAGTGACAGTGGCAAAGCGCCTCTCACATGCTCGGGTTCTTTCCTGACCTCAGGGCCAAGGAGACTGTCAAGATGGCAAGCAACATGCTGGCACGGCAGGATCGGGTGGCCGAGACTCTTGTCAGAGTGAGAATGGAGAGGAGCATAGTAGGAGCTGTCTCCAGGACACACAGCTCCCTTCCTGACATAGGGCTTTGAGGAGCACCAGGGGGCGATTGCCCCACCACAATCTCCCCACGAGCCCCTGGCTCAGGCCGGAAACCCAGACACTCATCTCTGGCCACAGCAGGCAGCAGCACTTGAGCAGTCTTGTCCTCTGTTTGACCAAGACTCTCTGGAAACCCTCAGCCTTTCAGAGGAAATCTGCAGCACCGATTGTCAGCCAAAGACCCCCGGCTCTCCAAATCCAGATGCAGTGGAACAGGGCCTGCCAGCACGTCGATTCCCAGTCCATGACAAGCACTTTCAGGCTGTGCTTCAAGGCTTGCTGCAAGAATCACCAGGGCCTCCTTAAGACGAGGTCAGGGGAGGGCTAGGTGAGTGTGGAGATATCCAAGAAACAGATCCAGGTGTCCTTGTCTTTGGTGCTAAATCAGCGTGATTCAAAGGAGTGAGGAAGGAGGAAGACTTGGAGTTCAGAAGCAAGAAGAAGGCAGGAAGGAGTCTGGGGCCCTGGGAAAGGGAGAGGCAGGTCAATGACTCTGACGCACACTGGGCAGCACTGACAGCGGTGCTGGAGGCCTTCGGGGACCTGGGCGACAGGAGGATGTGTCTTTCCTTCAGAAGAAACACAGGCAGCAGGCAGTGGATTCCTTCATTAATCGAATTGAGCAAAAGCATGGCCATGGCTCCGAGGATAGCCTGCCAGACATCCCCTCCTCCCAGGCAGACTGCAATGGTCAGGATTAGGAATGGAGTCCAGGCAAGGGACAAGGGTCTACCTGCAACACATCTGAACTGATGTCCCTTTGGCCAGGACCCAAGACAACCCTGAAATAATTTTTTCCTGAAGAAATTGAAGGAGAGACCTCGGATAAGCAAAGCACTACTGAAGAAGAAAAACAAAGTAGGAGGTCTCACATTGCCGGATCTCAAAACCTACTATACAGCCACAGTAGTCA